ATTTTTTCTTTTTGTTTGGCCAACTTCCGCCTCGGCTTTGGAGGCGGGACGACTACGACTACAGTTTGCGTTCAGTTTGGCTCTCCTCTGGGCTGCGTTGGCATTTATAGCTCAGTTTAGGCCAGACTAAGGTGGTGGGCCAAAGGAGTATATGGGTGGGCTGGTGGGCTGGTCGTCTGAGAATGACTGGCATAAATCACAGAGGGCAATATGCAACACTACTTCCAGTGCGGCACTGAAAATACTCCTTGTCGCTTTATGACCCCGCAAAACCTGAAAGCGATTTCAAGTCCTCTAACTTCTTGTTGCAGCTTAACGCGTTAACTCGTACCTAAGCCAAAGTTTTAATAGGAGCTTGAGGAGTTCCTGGAAGTTCACTGGAGGTCTTTCTCATCGCAGCCAAAGCCCTTGGATGCGTTTTATTAAGCCCCTGTGATCGATTATATTGGCCAAGGCGGAGTCCAAAAACTTGGTGTTAGTTAAAGGTAGAAAGAAATATCAGATTGCGACAAAGTAAATATATGTATGTACGTATTAAAAGATAAAAGGGTGTGCCAAATAAGTTCCATCTGTGATTTTTTTATAAACACGTGAAAGTCACAAATCTGCAAGCAACTTAAATATTTATCCAAGTAGAAACAGTGTTATGGTATTCCTAAAAACTTGTTGGCTCAAGAGTAACAAACCAAAATAAAAATAGAATTTAAGTCCTCGTCATCCTGGACAGCTTCCAAAAGGCAGAAAAAAAAACACAAAATAAGAAACTCCTGCACACGCAATCCAGGCAGCTGCATCTCGGACTTGTAAATTGCATTTGCAGCCAATTTACACAAAATTAAATTGAATTTACGCTACGCTTGCCCAAAATATCAATGAATGTCGCCCAGAGAGAAAGAGCTCAGAGCGTGGGCATGGCATGTCCTTGGCATGCAAGGACTCTACAGAGCACCGCAAAAAGTCAACTGCATTTTATCAAAATTCAAATTGTATTTTCGTTGCTCGTCGCCGGCTCCTCCGTCTGCTTGTTTAGCATGCGTGATAAGCAGCCAACAAAAAGCAAAAAGGACTGCCACACAAAACTTGGAAACGCACACGGTCGCACATAAATGAAGTGCCTGCAACTTGGCCGTGTAGTTTGTTGCATGTTGCACATAAAACAACAAATAGGATGGGCAAATGTAGAAAGCGCCAAGGCGTGGGCTGAGCCAAAGACAGCGTGGACAACAAACTAATGCACTCACTCGTGTGAAGCCAGCCCACCTTCCCCTGTTCTCCATTTAGTTGTTCATGGGACTTAGTTGGCTGACTTAGCTGGCTCGACAAATCACACGAGCTTCACTGCGGGTAGCAAATGAATCCAAGCCCAAGTTTCCTACCTGCGTAACTTCGCAAGTGTTGAAAGCTGCTAAGGAATGGGCTGGGGCGAATAAAGCAGGTGGACTAGAAGTCAGTTGAGTCTTAGTCTCGAACAATGGGGATCAGCGCAATCAGCGATGAAAGCAGATCAGGATAAAATACAAATTTAAAAAGAGACTTAAAATAACGCCATATATTATTTAACTAAAGATTGTATAGTAATAAGTCTAACTAGCACCATTTTGACCATTTATCTAGGTTACTTAAAATAGTACTTGAACCAAAGACAACCCAAATCATTAAAAATTTGTATATGCTTGCTTAGCCCTTTTTTTAACAATTGTATTTTGTATAATATATCGCGTATGACAACGCCGAATCGTCAAAGCTTCACACTTCTAACTCTAATAAATACTTAATGAATATATATAATATTGACGACTTAACGCGTCTTTTATTCTTCTTTTTCTGTTAAAATTTTGTGAGGCAGAAAGTTTAAATTTAATACCAGTTGCTTAATAAAAAAAATAATTTATTTAAATAAATTAAAGCATACTAAATTTATATTTTTAACCTTTGTCAAATAAAGCCAAGTTATCAATGCTATATCATGTCTGGCTCTTACTGTACTTTATTGAATTTAGTAATCCAGTGAAAACAAAACTTGAGTTAAGCGTTTTGCCAGAAAAGGACACCCGTGTCCCAATGGTCGACAAAGGTCTAACCCTGTTTTTCCAAAGTAACGTTAAGGATTCCGTGTACATTCTCATCAATATCATATTAATGCTCGGCTGCCAACAAACAATTGAAAACAATACAAAATACTTAGGAATTCCTTTGCTCCTCAGCCTGTATTTATTCCCTGGTTCGTGACGTGTTTGTCTGGATGCCTTAAGTTGGCCTTCTGCCAGATATTCTACCTTACTCATTTTTATACATGTATGGGTTTGCCATCCCTTTTTCGGTTCGGGTTTTGTTTTCGTCTTGGGGAGCGGATATCTAAGCCGAAGGGGGAAAAGGCAGAAATACTTTTTGGTTTTGGGCCGTTATGCATATTTGCCATTTGTTCACCTCTGGATATCTCCTTCGAATGCCAGAAATATGCCGCAAGTGCTGTCAATTGTTGATGATGTGGGAATTGTTTGAAGCTAATGTTTTTAAGCAAGCGATAAATTGGACACGGCTTTAATGTGTTTCTTTTTGGGGGTTTCCTTGTTCGGAGTTAGTGAAAATAATTTACATATTCCTAACAAGCTTTCAGGTTATCGTAAAGTTTGGAGACCGCATGGTTCAAAATTAAAAAACCATTTTTTGTAGCATACTTTTTAGACCACATTATCTATTACTTTTTATATTTATTTTGAAATAATAACGAAATGGTAACAAAGATACTGTTACCTAACTGGGCAACTTAAACAAATCAGAAATAACAAAAAGTAAAATTAATTATGTCAGTAGCACATAATTAATATATAGATAGATAATATAATATATAGAAAAATTATATAAATTGGACAAGGATATGCGGGAAATTTAAGTATAGCCTTTCTGGTAATCATTAGGTCAAGACCCGAGCCAACAGGTCTTGAGGATGATGAATATCACTTTTTAACTGATGAAAAACATCAAACTTTCTAAGCTTCTCACTTTAAAATGAAATTATACTCATATACTACTTTTAGAAGTTTGAAACAAAATTTGTTTTTCCTTATTTTCAAAAGAAAGCCGTGACATTTATTTGCACCCCTTTAATAAGTCAATATTGATTTGCTTTAAACGCTGTTGAATAAAAAAAAAGTATGTTTAGTCTGAAAAATCGGTTATCAAGAAGATGAAGGCTCTGAACTATAATATTAATAATAATAAAATTCTTTAAACCGTATCTAAAACTTAATTTAATATATTAGTTCGACTAAATATTCAATATTGAAAAACTGGAGTCCTAAAATATAACTATTGATATTCGAGAACAATAATGAAAACAGTTTGAGGATAATTTTATTCAGGAATATGCTGACCGATTTCATAATTAAGTGGGTAAAAAAAGAGCCAGATAGAGTATCCCCCAGCTTTAAATTCTTAAGCGGAGTTGAGCTGGTCATGTCCAGTGGTTCTGAAGGGCAGTTCCGTGCTCGAGCGCTACATACACGATTGAGATTGGGAGGCGGCAACAACATCTTGCTTGGAATTTACGTGATGTACATTTAAATGCGGAACCGGAATTATGCGTCCACCGGGTCTGAAGCTGGTGCTGCACAGGGACCCACCGATGGGGAGAGGTAGGGGTAAAGGGATGGGATTTTCGAACAGTTTGCTAAATTGGCATGGCCCGAGTGAAGGCAAAAGGCACGCCTAGGTGAGCGCGCCCTCCAATATTTCTGGCTCGACTGCGACGGGTCTATAAGTATGCTGGAGCAACGGCAGGGAATCGCACATCTGCTGAAAAAATTGATTGATGATTGATGGCAATACAAAAAGGGCGACGTATGCCTCCCGCACATGCTATCCAAGAGTTGTTTTGGGGAAAGGAAAGGTGCATCCACAGCCACATCCACATCCAGAAATAGAGGGGAAAACAGAATGGGGGAAAAGCGCAATTTCACATGTGTATATACTCGTTTCTGAGTGGGTGGCTGAATGTGTGGGCGGATGGCATTGCGGGGGACTTGGGCTGGCACAAATATTCATGAGCAAAATGCCGTGTGCTCGTCTCCCGTCGCGGCTCAGACAAAATTTGCATAAATTTGGAATTTGAAAAGCTATCCAGCCTGATGGAAATGATGACGAGAGCAGCACACACCTAAACACCCACTTCAAACAAACAGGGGCAGCGAGGATGAAGATGGAAAGCCCCCAGTCAGTTGTGGCACGTTGTATTAAGGCATTAAATGTTTGCCGCACACATTGGAGAACAAATATGCTGAAGCCCGAAATGGGAGCGGAAATGCCAGCCAGCATTGCTGAATTATTATCGAGAGTTTAGGCTAAGAAGCCTTGTACATATCGCTTTGCAGAAATCTGATAGACACGCCGAAAATGTAGGCAAAATATGCACACTTAAAATGCCAGTTTTTGATGTATCTTTATTTTAGCCACCTATTTTATATTCAGAATTAAAAAAATCTCTTAAATGCGTATTTAAGCTCTCATTAAAAATGACTTTCTTAGTAACTGAAGTCCTAATTTATTGAAATAAATTATCTGAGGCAAAGGATTTATTGAAATAAATTATCTGAGGCAAAGGAACAACACTAATTTATCATTATTTATATTTTTAGTACCTTGTTCACATCAAAATAATTTTAACATGATTAAAACTTTTTTGACAGCTGTTGCAACTGCATTAATTTGAACGGACCAATAAATAATTTACTATTAATTAAGACATTTATTTACCTCGAGACACTATTAATTCTATTGATCCTGACTTTTTATAATATTAAATCTTTCGTATATTTACTTTTTTAAATAGCACTTAATTAGAAAATAAATGAAAATAATTCAGTTATGGACTGTACTTTCTGATTTAACCCATTTAAACTATGTGCTTTCTGAGTGAAGGTTTTGGCTAAGACTGTGAGTCACCTACCAATTTTGCGTGACTAATTTGCTGCAGTTGCACTCGCAGCTTGTGCGATTGCATAAGATGACCTGATGGACTTGATATTGTTCCTGGATTGCTTGATGTTGGGTTTCTTAATGATGTTGTTGATGATGTTGTTGCTGAAGTGGCACTTGCATCGCTTGCAGCGGAATGCAATTGCTGTTAGCAAATTGCCTGAGTTTTGCAGAGTTCGCGCAAATTGTGGCGGCTGCTCAAACTGAGGCGGCCGGAACCCGATGGTTGATTTTGTAGAGGTTGCTGCTGATGGTGGCGTTGCAGCTGCAGACGTGGATAGGGATAACCAAGGGATTGTGGATGCTGCTGCCAGCGCAAGCGCCGCACGTTTAGGGCGCCACATGGATAGGCAACCTGCAAGAGAATTGATGAGAGATTCAAGAAAGAACACAACAGATGCTGCCACACACAGAAAATAATAAAAACATATGCATAGTTACTGTCAAAAGAACAACATCAATGAGCAGGGAGCACAACATCGATTGGTATAAGGTTATATTTATGAATTAAACGGAAATCATGATAACAGATAGTGTTCTTGCGTTATAAGAGAGGCTTATGGATATGTAGTAGTAGCAGTAGTAGTAGTAGTAGAAACAACATCAACAACAACAACATCAATTATAGAACAACATCAATATATTGGAGTCAGTAACAACATTGATTCTTATAAGCTATAACTTATTTGGGTCCCCCAACAATATGTAATATTTTCGACATATTCAGATTTGTGTCTTTCTTGACTTTTCCCAGCTTAAAAACTTGTTTTATTAATATAGCTTAGACTTAATAATATTGTATACATATAGACAGAATAAAGAATGTGTTTTAGATCAAGGCATGCTCAAAAGCTAACATTGATTAAAAAATTAATTATTTTTAAATTTATAAATAATCAGATAATCAACAAAACTAAATAACGCTATCCAAAGTTAAAAGGAGCTCCGAACTTATAACTAATGAAATAAAAGACAAAACATTAAAAAAAAGTTTGTAAAATTAAATAAGTTTAAATCTGTTTCAAATACAAAATAGCTAAAGAATATTTGAAAATAAGCTTCAAGAATAAAATGATCTGTCACTGCTGGGGATTTATTTTGGTTGTAGGTGATTGAATAACGTGACGAGATAGCATAACAGACACAAAGACGCTTTTGCAGATATACACCACGAATGTAAATCGACATTTTTATTACGCTGTTGGAATATGTCAGGCTCCCTTCTCTACAATAAAAATGTCGCGCATTTGGCTTTGAAATGCAAAAAAATGTTCAAGCGTTCCCACTCCATCCTCTTTGTGAGGGAACATTTTCGAGTTGAGGAGCTACCAGTTTTCTAATAAAATATATTTTTACACATGCGCATGCATAAAATATTCTCTTTGTAGTCGGTGTCGACAATATTTCATGGGCTTTATAAAGTGGAAAATTGTTCCTTTTTTGGCTCAGACAACTTTTATGGCCACAGAAAAAAAAGAGCCAGAGCCTGGTTATTCTAACATTAATCAAAACTTCCATTTAAGTATTAGTATAAATTTGTTTAAAAACATAGTTTTTGGTTCGGTTTGAAAATTGAAAGTGATTTCTTTAAGGATGTGTGTGTTTGATGATTCTTATCTCTTTAGTTGACCTAATATTAAACACAGCCAAAAAATGATTAAATGACTTCTGATGACAAACTATCGATTTTTTTTTTTAGCATATAGATTTAATTAACGTCGATCAACCAACTAATTGGTTATAAAACGTTGGGAATAAAACTATCGATTCTTAAATAATTTCAAAAGATTAAAGTTTTTACCGATTTTTGCACTTTTTAAAAGGTGTTACATCTTGATTTTTTGCGAGTATCGACCCAAAGTAAATTTTTTTTTTCATGATTATACCCGTTACTCGTAGAGTAAAAGGGTATATTGTATTTGTGTAAAAGTATGTAACAGCTAGAAGGAAGCGTTTCCGACCCTATAAAGTATATATATTCTTGATCAGGGTCACTAGCCGAGTCGATATAGCCATGTCCGTCTGTCCGTCTGTCTGTCTGTCCGTATGAACGCTGAGATCTCGGAAACTATAAAAGCTAGAAGATTGGCATTTTGCATGCAGATTCTAGGAGTTCCTACGCAGCGCAAGTTTGTTTCAAAATGGTGCCACGCCTCCTTTAACGCCCACAATCGCTTATATACGATTTTAAAAATTTTAATATTTCGGAAAAGTAAAAATGCAGTTTTATTGTGTTTATCAATACCTATCGAAGACATTTTTCAAATCGGGCCATTCGTTAAAAAGTTATGCGTGATCAAAGCTTCTATCTCCATCTCCCTCGTACTCCCTTTACCTGAGTAACGGGTATCTGATAGTCGGGGCACCCGACTATAGCGTTCTCTCTTGTTTTTTTCTCAAATACTACAGTAAAATACATCTTCCAGTTGCCAATTGATTGAACATTTAATAACGAATTAAACGAGGTATTTCAACATTGGCCTAACTATCGCTAACATATTTACATTTAAGAACAGTGTAAGCTGTCATTAATTTGGATGTAACTGCAAGAGTATTAAAGCTTTGGGTTATAGTTTTTGGTTTTTGACTAAGTATGTTGGTTAAAAACCTAATACGAGGGCATTGGAACGTAGACATCATTCTCTCAAAGTGCTGAACTTGTGCCAGCGAGTTCTTGGCTCAGCTGCTCTATCTTAATTAATTAACTGATTTGCAAAAATAATAATAAAACTGTCAGCCGCAAGAGAGAGCAAGCCAGCCGACAGAAATCTCCTGTCCGATTCAACATACTATGTGGCGAATATTTTTTCTTATCTCAAATTCCTCTTGGCCAGGATACGGGGCAATCTTGCTCTCTCGCTCACTCTTTAGGGCCATTGGCAGAGTGGACGGCGTCCTTGTTTTTCTGGAAACTGGCATCCGCCAACACTTAATTAAAATGGCATCCGGCCGAGGCAGAAAAAATCCTGAGCGGCCCAACATGCCACCCCCGCAATCGCCCACCTCCGTATATATAGAGACCATCCATCGCGTCTACTGGTGTGAGTAAGTGAATTCGTTTCCCGCTTTTGGCCGTTGATTGATATGCCAATGAAGCGAACGCCAAGCTCAGAGCTCCTATTCCAGCACTCTGGCCAATGGATCCCAGAGACCAAGGAAAGAATGCGGAAAAAATCTAGTTCGTTAGCTCTTATGCAAAGCGGGACAATAGTGTACACTGCGGCCCAATCGCCGGCGCAAAGTCAACAAATGCAGATGGGGCCAGATAAATTGCCAAACTGAAGCGTCCAGCACCAAAGCGGCTTCGGGCCCAATAGGAATAGCTTGGCTTTTTGCTCAGTTAGTTGCGGTTCGGTTCGGTAGAGGCCTTCTATGGTATGGTCAGTGCTCGTCTGGAATAACAACACAAATTTTTGCTTTTTTCCCTGCCGAAACAAAGTTTAGGTGAAAAATGAAAAGAGGAGAGGCACCCAAAAGGTGTGCTATAAAATCAAAGGGGATTTTTCATCAGCCCTGTAATACACTTCCCTTGGGGTCAATCAGAAAATAAAAAGCGATATCGGCAATTTTTAGTAAACTTTAAAAAACTGACTCCAAAGTTTGGGGGTATTGAATATTAAGTGACTTACAATGAAATAAACTATCTTTGACTTTTAGTAGTTTACCTTTATTCCAAAACATCCCATTGTATATATTAGTTTATAATATATTACGTAAGGGTATTAAGTATTCGTTAACTGCATTTACTTCAATTTATTTAATATTTCGTAAGAGTATTTACTGTTCATTAATTTTAGAAGGTCCACAACTAACCACAAAACCCATTCGTTCATGAATTGTGCTACATCAGGGGCGAGCGTGATTAATTGCAGGCTGTGGTTAAATCCTTTTTAGTCCTGATTTCGGAATTTTCCAGGTTAACTCAGCTAATTCTTTGCCCCACTCAGTTCACTTTATCCTCTTTTTTTTAGGTATGTGTGGCGACACAGAAAAAAATATACAAAACTTCTCGTAGCTGGACAACCACAATATACGTACATGTTAAAAAAGATCAATTTCACGTAAGACAATATTCATTGCTTTCTTTTGTTATTCAGTTTCCGTATTTATTATTGTGCTTCTCAAAAGGATACAATAGGCTACTAGCCTTTTAAATTCTAAATTCAGTTTTATTCTTTTATTAAAAAAGCATCTGAGATTAATATTTTATTTGATTATAAGTTTCGGACAACCATAACTGATAGTAAAATTAGAAAGACTCAGATTGCAAAATTTATTGGAAAACTACAATATCTGATCAGTTAACCTTAAATTTTTTTGAAAATTGTTAAAAAACGACCCTTAATTTAAAGTCGGGCCAGGGGGTCTTGAACCTTTCCGCCTTACATTCTTTCTTTGACTTCCGTTTCTAAGGCTTTTGAATTATCAGCGACGGCCATTCCCCGGCATATGTGCAAAGTTTCTGCCCACTTTCCGTATTTGCTTCTTGCTCTATCTACTTGGCAGCAGATATTTTTCATTTTCGAAAAAAGAAAATTATGACTTTTCCCACCCAATTCCTGGCTCCGCCCTCTTTTGCGTCGTTTTGGGAAATTTGAATACGACAAAGCAGCGCATAAGATTCAGATAAAGCTAAACTGCCAGTTGCCATGAAAAGTTGAGCGGTGTTTCAGGCTTTTTCATGACCGCCGCCTTGTACGGCCACAGCTTGACTTTTTATTTTTATGCTAAACTGTTTCCTCTTTGCAAAAAGCCGTATTTCGTTTGCGCAAAAAACTGGCTGCCAAACTGAGGCACAAAGAGGAAACCGGAAGTTATATCGTCCTCCGGATGATTACTGCACTTTCTGTGTGCAAGTTTCCCTCGGCTGAAGTGGTCTCCAAGGCTCGAGTTGAAGGATCCTTCACTTATCAAAGCACTCGATACGTTAATTAAAAGATCAGAAGGGCATTTCTCAAGGAATGAACGAATGAACGACTGAACCTTTCTAACCCTTCTCGATTTAATAAAACAACTCTTGATTATGCAACAGGAAGAGTGGCTTCCTCCAGCAGCAAAACAATGCGGCAGAGGCGGAGAACAAAGGTGGAATTCTACCGACTCGCCCTCAAGTTGTAATAAGTGGCACACACATGCAGCAACAGTCGACTTCTTGCCACACACACACACACACATACACACAGTGGCATTGGCAAGAGAGCACAAGAATAGAAAAAGACGAGGCTAAAAGTTCTGAAAGAAGCCAGAGAAGAAAGATAAACTCTTTCCTTCAGACCGGGTCGGTCGGGCCTAGACTAAGAAAATGTAATAAATTTCCACACAAAAACAGCCACAAATTTCCCTCTCAGTGTTTGTCAGAGTAAACAAAGAAAATATGAAAACAAAAGGCTGGAGGAGAAGATAGGATGGAATTGAATGGACCAGCCTATCTATCCTTCTATCTCAAATGGGGTGCAGAGGGTGTCCTCCAGTTTGTACAACTCTGCTGCAGTTCACAACATTTTGCATATTCAATAAACTGTTTCTTGCCGTTCTTGTGTTTAGTTTGATTTCCTTTTGAAGACTCTTTTTGTCGTTCTAAGCAAAATTAAATTTCAGTTATGAGTTTTAGACCAAGACAACTGGAGACAGGGACGCAATCAAGATTTGTTGTTTTTCCAATAATTGAAATATTGTTGGGTCAGGAGAAATAGCCACCAATTTAAGGACCAGCAAATATTGCATCATTTATTTTATTCTTTGTCGTCTATTCAAATATGTTCTAAAATTTTAATTACTTTTCCGGCCACATAACCATAATACCCAGCAGGTGGGGGATAATAAACAAGCTGAAACATGTGTTCCCTAAATGCATTTACATGGTTGCACATGTTCGGCATTTTAAACTGAAACTCAATTAGGGTAAACATTAACAAACATAAATCAAAAGCAAAACAAAATATATCTATATTTTTGACAGTAAAAATTGCAATCAATTTTCAAGCCCTCTTTTGGCTGTCTGTCATAAAATTTGCCCAAAACCAACGCATTTAAGGATTGGCAGAGTTTTTGCAGAAATAATTTAGCGTAGTTTCAGCAAATTCCCCAAACAACGAAATCGAAAGCAATCAAAGAGGATTTGCACAATTTTCAGTTGGGCATGCAAGTTCAAATTTTATTCAGAGAACATACAGTCAAAAAATGAGGGATTTTAAATAGACAGTTAAAAGTACATCCTAGGTTGCTTAAATTGGCTGACATTTTTGTATTGTTTCTTTAAATATTTTATTCGAGTGAGAGTAGTGACAGATACCACAACAAATTATACAAAAACAACACTCAAACAATGTGCATTTATAAGAAAATTATATGTCTAGCTACTTAATTGATGGAATTGAGGACATTGGCCCTGGCACTTACCCCTGCTATGGATTGCTTGTCATTGTGGAGCGATGTCTGTGCCCCAGATGAGGGCGACGTGGCAGGCGTGGCGGAGGTCTCCGGACTGAAATAAGTCAGAAAAGCGCAACCTGCAATGACAGTCATTAAAATTTTAATTAATAATGATAAGTGTAAAAGGAGGCGATAGGATTTCAAATATATCTATTACTATCTCTAATTTTAATCTATTTGTTTTCCGCGAAAACCATGTTCGCTTTATTACACAATTAAAGCTCTGCCCTGTGGAATGTCCTGGCGAAAGGGGACTGCCAGGACTGCAAGGACTGCTAACCACCGAACACATATGTCGGTTTGCGTGTGCAAAGCGTCAACGTGTTTAGCACAGTTTTGTGGCCATTTTCATAAATCCGTGTAATTTTCCCCGCCGCTTGCTTTCCCATTGTTTGGTTGTGGTGGCCCGCTTGGCGTTGCTTTTGTTGTTGTTGCCAGGACGGCGGGGTGGGGAGGTATGGGGATCCTGTCTCTGCTCCTCATTAACTGCTCAACTGCCGCCCCGTGTACTTCACCTGCATGGCGACAGGCTCGTGTCAGCCTAAACCGATTTAGCAACACATATTCCAACCGGCACACGAAGCCAGTCCCAGTCCTGACATGTGGTCATACCCAGGGCTCCCTGCTCCGCCATTGACTGTCTGTTGCCTCCTTGCTAACCACTCCAACGGCAACAATTATATTTAACTTTTAGCCCAAAACGCGCGCACGTTTAGGCCAGGAGTAGAGGGCCCAGTTACCCCCTTCAGCCCCTGTCCTTTTCCCGTGGCCTTTTGTCTGGGAGCTCAAAAGGCCACAGCATGCAACACGTCAAAAGTTGAACGACAAGCGACCAGCGCTACAACAACTGAAGGGACAAGTGCAAGAGCAACAACCGAACAACCTGCCAACTGTCGACGTCAGCGCCGTCTAACAACATAAAAATTGTCGGCACATTGTTGAAATGCCAGGAAATTATGTGCAGTCCCCCAAAAGGACGAAAGAGCTGTGGGGGATAACAGCTGCCAGTAATTAAAATGAGCAATTCACATAGTGTAGCGGCAAAAACGTTGACCAGTCCTCTGCCTAATGAGTTTATTAATTAAAAATCACTCTCACAAATACACGTATGTACAGTTGCGTGCATAGAAATAGTAGAGGCATAAAACAGAATGTCTCTGTTGTTTTACAAAAATGTCAATGGAATGTCAACTAAAATGTAGTGTCCTCAAAAAAATTATAACAATAATTTATAATAACATTTATATAACATAATTTTTTTATTTTAGAAACTCTGAACGCATTATTAATTGTTATGTAAAAAAAACCATGCAAGAATTTCGATATTAGGTGATTCTCGGAATTTAATGACTTTTTTAATTTAACAACATGCCAAACTATAAAGGCTCCATAATAAAGACCTCTAGTTTAGCTTACGAACAAATTAAATTTTAATTAAACCTTATTGCTGCCCAAACGTGTTACTAAACAAATCTCATACTCTCCCACTTTTCAGTTCCCCTCGAACTCCTTAAATTTATTAACCCACATTAACCGCTTTCCTGGCAAAATGTTGCTCATGGGGTTTCGTAATGTGCCTCCGAAGCAATATTATAAGTTGCTTTAGGCTTTTAAAACTTTTCACTTTCAAGAGGAAAGTGCGGTCTGGTATCTCTTTTGCGGCAAATCAACTTTCAAGCTGAATGCTAATGAATCATTTTTGCCAGCCCACTGACCGCAGTCGGTCGAGGTAGCAGTGGTAGTTGGCCCACACCATTTATTAGTGGTTCTTGGCGAGGCCAAAATTTATGCCTGTGGTTTGTACAAGCAATAATCAAGGGTACAGGAAAATAAGTAGAAAAAACTGCGCAGCTTCCTTTTTCCTTACCTTTATATTTCTAAATAAATATATTTTGATCTAACTTTTATTGAAGAAAAAAACATAACTTAATAATTTAACCTTTACATCTCGTCAAAAGAATTTGAATAAGTAAACAAACATTTTCAGAGTTATTTATATCAAAAAGTCTAAGAAAAAACAAGGTATACTTTTTTGCGTTTATGTTTAAGATTTTTACATTAAATAAATTTAGCAGTTTTAAAAAATTATTTACTTGAATACATCAACTCGGCAAGAAAATGCACTATAGCTGTCGCATGTTCGAGGTGAACAATGATTAGCAAGTATAGTCGTATGCCTGTTCCTAACCAAATTGCAGACATATTAGAAGCCACTGAATTATATATCACTTGTACACCAGAAAGGGATCAAACAAGGCAGAGCTTAAATTTTCTAATATGGCTCAGGCAGCTAGGTAAATAATTGATACCCGTTTTTTCAACGAGAAGCCCGTCGTTCGTTTTCTTGTGCATTCTTTTTATGGTATTAAGTTATTATGTGCTTAAACCTAAATATAATGCCGAAGGCTTCAGATGTTGAGCGCCAGCCGTGGCTGTGCTTTTATTGTTTATTGAGAGCCGGGCCGATGTAACAGCCCGATTTAACTGTCTCACCACTCGACTAACACAAAGGAGCAGGACTGCCTTCGTTGGAAACATCTTAAGTGCAGCTTCGAGTTGCTGTTATTCTTCGTTGCCTTCCATTTCCATCACACAGGAAATTGTTATACTTAATGGGTTTTCCCAGTCTATGCCTGCCGGAGGTAAGTGGGCAACCTTTAAATGTTAAATGGAGCTTGCTTAATAATTGATTATTTTGAGGCTCACAAGTAGTTAAGCCCCTCACCCAATTCCTGGGAACAGAGTGCGCATTGTAGCAATTAGAGCCCTCTTGCCAAATTTGCAAATGCAAATTGATTTTGCGGATAGAACTGGGGATTTCTCAGCATCAGACGTAGGCTGACCTTACATATGTAACTTAAATGAATATTAAGTTTAAAAAAAATTGCTACTTAGATTCTTAACTTCTTGTTAAATAAGGGAAAAATACATTTTTTCAATTCAATTTATGAAGTTTCAATGTAAAATATATGTACTCACTTGCAATGTGTTCGTTGTGAAAGGCCAACATGATCGTTACTTTTTCTGATCTTTACTTCGCCAAAAATGTTGTTTAAATAGTTTCAGTTATTTTTCGATCTGCGATATCACACTTAGTTTTTTTTTTGGATATTAATCGTTGACAAGACCTGAAAAAGAATAATAGAGATTTTGGTTATCCTTTTTCTCTATAAATTGATTATAAAATTTGTTTTTTTAAACAATGTTTATGTATTATATTTTTGGTATGGTTCGATCTGAAAATCATAGTCAACTACTTTGCCAACTTTGCAGAAGTTAAATCTTAAAAAATTTGTTTTTACCCTCGGATAAAAATTGGTTTTTGTGTTAAAACCCGCCCAAAACTATTGTTCTCCATATGTGCACAAATATAAAATCACTAGAAGTAGAGTTGGTGTAGTCGCCCTTTGATTTTCAGTTAGACTCTCAGTAAGTTTGACTGCGCAACTGTGTGGCATTTCCGCTTCCGTAACGGAAGCTAATGGAAATGGAAGGAACAATTGCGAGGGTCCAAATGACTTGGAAATTCCAACCTGAAATTGAAAAACAATGCAAAAGCTATTTTTAAATAAATAAACGGCAATTCGGAATACTTCCTTATATTAAGCTAAAGCAGTATGTGTCTGCGATTTACATGTTTTTATGTCTTAATATTATTCTGGCTTTAGACCGTAAATAGAAAACAATGGCTAATACCTGATATACAAAACTCACTGGTTAAACTGAAAATATTTTAATATAATATTTTAAGGAAACCTTTAACTTTTGCTTCTATACAAGCTTGTATGCGAATCGCTAAATCATTTAACTACCTCGATAAGGTGCGACGTTCAAGGGAGAAATGTGTCGTTTCCATCTCCTGCCAGTTAAATGCGTCTAGTAAATCTTTAATGAGGGACCTAAACGCACTCCAAGTAAATATCGATTTTATTTTCTTGCTAATTTTCTGCTCGTTATTGTTATTCCTGCCCCCAACAGCAGGACAGCACACACGTGGGCCAGTGTTGAGCTGGTCCTTTTTTGTCCTCAACCAAAAAACAATGAGCTTTCCAGCTAGCTTCTTTCACTCTCAGTCCCTCTCGTTCTTTCTTTCTGTTGGCCTGGCTATGTTTGTGTTGTCTGCAACTTTTCTGACCATTCAACCAAAATAGTCCGGGACATTGTAGCAAAAACAAAGGTGGGGGGGTTGAGCACAACGGCTAGAAGGACGACTACTGTGGGGATGGGGTTGATGATGACGATGACGACGTTCACGTCGACAGACTTCCTGACTTGCTGAGTTTCCTGCCTCAGCTTGCTGTTTTTATAAACCACCACTGTAAACCTAAAAAGGTATATTAGGCAAAGTTGGGTCACATCAGCTTATCTTAGCAGGGTATCTTTTGGTTCGGTAAGAACAAACTACCATCCTTATACTTGTTTGGCTCTTCGTAGAAAACACAAAACTTCGGGTGTAGGATTCAGATTTGCATTTACCAGTCTACACCTCCTTACCCATGCCTATTTCACTTTACTCATGCAGAAGCCTAAGCAATTGGTTTATCTGGATGTAGGCTGGGATATGTCTGGTTGTTGGAGTGTCTAGGTTCCCCTGCAGTAGTATTCGATTTAAAAACCCTTAATGACGAAGATGATGGCTATGTGATTCGTTTTCGCCGGAGTTGCCAATGTGATTTCCTTGTTATTAGCTTACTGCTGTTGAATTATGTTACATGAGGTTCTCATTACTTTAAGTCTGCCGTTTCCGACTACTGGTTTTAGTCGTAACCCATTTGCATGGCGAATAAATTTCATTGTTTTGGCTTTCCGTTTAGCCCGCATTTATCTTCTCGTTACCCGCCCGCCGAATTTGGGTAAACATAATGGAATTTTCGTGTAAACAATTTGCATGGCTTTAGCTTTACCTCATTTACATGGTACGGTAGAGATAGAGAAAAGTCAAAAAATCTCTGCAATGGAAAATTCACTTAATCAATTAACACATCAAATCTTGGGGCAATCCTTTCTTTGTTTAAGTTAAGGTATAATTGAGAGATCTGCGATAAACTAATTTTAATAATTTGTTTGTGGATAGCCTTCCCTGTTGTGTGGGCCACCTTTTTGCTTGGCTTTCTTTCCATTAATTTCAGTAAACCCTCATTTTGCCTTTTTGTCCTTGTGTGAAACTGTTTGTCAGGCTTATGAGCTTAAGCGAGGACTCTCTCACATAGAAAGCGAAGAGATATTGCTGAGTAGATGAGACATATACATACATACACTCAGAAATTCTCCGCGCTATAATTAAGTAGTCTGGGACTTTATCTGAGCATCATCATATTTCACCGTACTTTAATTTAGAATTAAGAAATAATTTTTCTTGAAATATAGTGCAAGTGTAAGTTTACTCCAACCAAAATAAACTGAGTGAGGGAAGCTTATTTTAAAACCTATGTAAAAAAATAGAAAAAATGTAGAACTAAGCTGATTTTGATTGAAATAAAATGAATATGTTAATAAATACAGTATTTTAAAGCAATTGGCTTGTGAAAATTTTAAGTATGCTTATATTTTGGTAATTTAAAAGCTTATAAAAACAAACTAAATAAACGACTTTCGCAAAAACAATTGTACTCTAACGTTAACGTGAAGAGAGTTGCTAGAAAATAAAAATAATGTTCCATTAGGTCAGGTGGTTTCCATACTCTTTTCGCCAAGTAAATCAGATTACTCGCGTTTCCAATTAGTTCATAAGAGCAGTTAGTTTGTATGTACATCTGCATATCTACATGTATGAGCATAATAAGTCAAATTAAATAAATTTAATTACATAACCAGCCCAATGCCAGGTAGAAGAGGACCCATCAAGCGGGATACTCAACTTTTGCGTGAGTGTGTGTGTGTGTGTGTGTGTGGCACAGGACCCACACCCACACATCCTTCCACATACCCACACAGTGTCCCGTAGATAGACCGAGTTGTTGTGGCGCTGCATTTGTGCCGGAATGTTTGTGTGAATGCGCCTACTTAGCCTTTAGTTTCAAGTGCATGGCCTCTCCACCAGAACCTCCACCCCCTCCACTATTTTAGCCATCACCCACACAGTTACCACATCGGGTGCAGGTGCTCAAGCGAAGCCGCACACATACATATTTATTCGTCCTGGCTGTGAGGCTGTGAGAGCGAGGGGTCCTGTGTACAAGTTCGTTTAGTCCTGGTCGCTGTTCATGTGAGTGGTGCTCTGAATCAGACCCCATCCCACCGAACCCTCCTCCATTTTAACCTGCTACTGGGTCCTCGTCCGCAATCGTCCACGAAACTCAACTGACTTTCTCCGTGGCTCCCTCCACCCACGGCACCACCTTTCACCCGATTTTCCCTTTCTCCGTTTGACTTAACAAGTCGTCGGGCGGCGAGTAATTATGAAAATTTTCAAAATGAGCTCTCGTCCTGCTCGAGCCCCTCAGTTCAGTTTTTGAAAGTTGAGTACGAGTAATTAAAATTTTCGTAGTGTCGCTGCTACTCAGTTCCCCGGTCTAGATCTGACTCATGCCCCAACCGAATTGTCTGGCATATGCTTATTTAGCTGTTGTTCCCGGAAATATGTAGGTATATGAATTTAAATTAAATTCATTTCCCTTTTTCTATTTACCTGCAAATATATATACAAACACTACGTCATTTAGGTGTGTCGGTGAATGTGTTTTGAGTCGGTAGGCTTCCTTTTAATTAGAAAAGCGGAAAGGCATTTAGTTCTAAAGCGTTAGCATATAAAAGCTAAACATTACTGCAATTAGTTTTGTTAGAACGCCTAAGATGGCGGGTGCCACATAAAAGTTCTTTTAAAAACATTTTAATTGAGTTCATGTGGGATGAAAATTAAAACTTAATTAAGTAAGGATTAGGAAAGCAAGATTAGGAAATTAAAATGTGCACTCAACACGACGGGAGAGTACCAATTTTTCCAAGAAGTCCGATTCTTTTTTAAAAAACTTGCGTACTTATATTGAATTTGTAATTAATAAAACTCCAACTTAATCTGGAAAATTTATGAACAGTTTATAAAGACAGTTATCCTCCATTCAAGATGGTCAGAGCTAAGATACTAAATGTTTCTACTTAAGCGACAGTGTGCCTTAATACGCTCTTTGTTTGTGCATTATTTTTGCCACCTAATTTCATCTCAAGAATATGATGATGCACATTAACAACTTGGCTAGCCACAAAAGCAAACAAAATGGGCATTTATGTGAGTATAAAGTGTGAGATAATGGTGCGTTGTGGCGATAAGATTTATGTTTTGAGCTTAGATGTGGCAATAATGGCAAAATCTTTAAAGGCAAGGCATTTAAGCCATCTGATGTATGAATTTATAAATGAGAAGTAAGAGAGTTTTATTCGCCTGTAGCTACTGAATTAATTATTCTCAACAATTCATTAGGGTGTGCCAATTGTTGTTGCCTATTTCAAAAATATTAAAAAATTTAAAAAAACGTTTGAGTGCAACACAATTTTGAAACATTTAAAAAGGTAAACCGCTTCGTACCACATTTTTTGGTGTACTTTTTAAAAGGTTTAGATGTTTCTTGGCACCTTAATCGTCGAACTTTTGAGCTCAATTTTCTATGTGTATTTTTATGACTCACAAAAGAAAAACATAAAGAAAGTGCACTTCATAGCTCGATAACTTGACACCCAATTCCACCCAAAGGAATTAACTAGGCTAAAGTAGCGAAGTCACTCAGGACTGTTCAAAACCCACCCGTAAGTTAATAATTAATCATGCTGTAATTTGCTTTCTTGGCAGGGCAGACATTATAGCTTCTCTTGGCCACATGACCTCTTGGTCATTTACGCTTCAAACTAAAAGCAGACGAATCCCAGACAGTCAACGCCAATGGGATGATGGTGGAGTACATGAATATTTAAGGGACATCTACACGGTTCGAGTTAGATGGAGATGTAACTAACTTGTGGTTTCCCCATTTGGTCAACACTAAACCAGAATTCAAAAGCTAATAGGTTGCTGCTGTACCAGAGATATTAGAAGGACAGAGCAAAGGGCAGTCCAGTCTAATAATTTTGACATATTGTACTGACAAGACAAAGGTGGTGCAAAGGGTCTGTATTTGTCACCAACAGACTAACCATT